CTTCCCTTTGCATTTGGATTCCTGGGATACTTCTTGATGCTGATTTCCAATTCATAATTTCATACATCTATTTTCTCTGCATTTTGAACAAAACTTATAATTTGTTTTTTGCATTTATAATTAAACAGTTGACTAGCTTAAGTCCAATGAGAATTTAATTGAGGCCAAATATTTGCTGCTTTTAGCATAGCTAATAATTTCCATCTTTGTCTCACTTGAATAATCATAAGTCTTAGCATTTTATTTTTCTGCTTCCCACTCTTTCTTATAAAGTAGGCTCAAACAAAATATTCACATCATTCCGTAAACTAGCAGGTTTTTTTTTTCAGATAATAAGACAATCCAGACACAACAGAAACAATGATTGACAATGACTTTTTAGAAAGTGTGGAGTAGATTTTTTGTGTGTGTATGGAACAGATTTGTAAGTTTGATAAATTCAACTTGATGTTTAAGATGAGTGCTTTCTCATTTTAATTCTACTTCTATTATGTTCAAGCTATCTGAAATATCTAGATTCAAGCCTTTCAGGTCCCCAACATACAGATGAAAATATTTGGGGCAAACACAGTTTTGGTTCACTCTTTGTCATGTGCTAGAGGTCACATGAGAGAATAAGATAATTGGAAGTTATGTTTTCCTTCAAACAACCTTTTTTTGGAAGTATTAAGACATTCAATGAGATTTCAAATATGACAACTTAAAAGTTTAAAAACAATCTAAGAAAAATAAATTGGAGACTACAGGACATAGCCTTATCAACACTCCACATGTATCCACTAGTGGTATGTTTTTAATTTGTATCAAAAGCTTTCATCATGAAAATAGAGCTATAATAAGAAATTACAAAATTAAAAAGCACAGAAGCTAAGAACTCAACTTCTACTTGAATTCTAACTCTGCCATTTGTTACTGTGTGATCTTGGGGAAGTTACTTAACTCAATATATCTCAGTTTCCTCCTAGGTAAAAAGCGGGGAAAATATCTTCTGACCACTGGCATTCAGAATTAGTTCTGAGATTTTTATTTTAAAGGAGAAGATACCTGGTGGTCAAAATATCACCTGCTAAACTTCTAAAGGCTAAAACTGAAGATGTGGCTAGTTGTATGGCAACAATAGGTTTCCTAATATGGAACACTAGTCAGACATCAGGTAGTGTCGAACCTGCTGGTCTCCCCATGCAGAGCCTGCCCCTATGAATCATGTGCTGTGGGAAGCAGGATATAATGCATGCTCTCTGTGGATCCCAAATTAAAAGGGCTTAGAAAGGCATTTAAATCTTTTTCTCCCTAGTATATCAAGAAGAAACGTCACTCCTCTTTCTCTGGGGAGGAGTAAGAGGGATTGGCAGAAAGTGGACAGGAGTATTATATTAGTGAAGCTTCTACAAGGAAACATTGGAGGGGGGGAAAGTTTTACCCCTTAACATTACCTAGACTTTTGCTTTCTTAATCTATGGGCACTGACCATTTAGCCTGTACTCAACCAGGCTATGACTATCCTCTTGTAGGGAAGAGATCAGCAGACTATCAGGACAGTCCTATTCTCACTTTCATGAGCATATTCCCCCAATGCTATTCATGCTCCTCTGTGGGTCCTCCTAGTGTACTCCAGGTCAGTAGTGTTACTCTTGTCCTCAGAATGCTCTGAAATAGGCCAGATGAGTACATTTAGTAAATTAACTTGGAGACAACATTGTACCCTAGGCCAGTGATGGCGAACCTATGACACGCGTGTCAGAGGTGACACGCGAACTCATTTTTTGGGTTGATTTTTCTTTGTTAAATGGCATTTAAATATATAAAATAAATATAAAAAATATAAGTCTTTGTTTTACTATGGTTGCAAATATCAAAAAATTTCTATATGTGACACGGCACCAGAGTTAAGTTAGGGTTTTTCAAAATGCTGACACGCTGAGCTCAAAAGGTTCGCCATCACTGCCCTAGGCTGAAAATCAAGTTCTTATTTTATTTTCCAACCCAAATTATGTCTAGCCAATTTGTCTAATTACATATTAATTACGTGCTGAGAATCAGGTACCACAAAGGACCCAGACATGTACAAAGTTTATTGGGAGAGGGATAAGCATAAAGCAAGAAGAACCTTCAAACCATGGTCTGACATCTGTGCAAAAAGAGGAAGAAGGGAGTAGGACTGGATAGGAAGAATCTTAGACTGTAGTGCAGTTCCTAGAAAGGTTAAACCTGGCTGAGGGGGAGTCCTTGAGCCAGAGTCACTTGGAGGAGTTTTATGTCTCACTGGATTGGGCCTGCTCTAGTGCCTAGCCACCCTCAGTCATTAGCTAGGAGCAGCTGGTGGAAAAGGTGGCCTCAGTGTGAACACGGTGCTAGATCCAGATGTTGTCTGTCAATTATGATCCCAAAGACAAATGTCTGAGCAGTGCATTTTATGGCTACAACATTTATAGAGTTCATCAAAGGTCCCACAATGTTATTAAATGACAAAGATACTACAATAAAAAAAATATACTAACAATAAGATACTTAAGCCCTAGCTGGTTTGGCTCAGTAGATAGGGTGTCGGTCTGTGGACCAAAGAATCCCAGGTTCGATTCTGGTCAAGGGCACATATCTCAGTTGCAGGTTCCTCCCTGGCCCAGGCCCTGATCAGGGCTTGTGCAGGAGGCAAACAATCGATGTGTTTCTCTCACATGGATGTTTCTCTCTGTCTTTCCCTCTCCCTTTCACTCTCCCTAAAAAAATCAATGGAAAAATGTCCTTGGGTGAGGATTAACAAAAAACAAAACAAACAAACAGAGATACTTCACATTTCATGATCAAAAATTAGATCCCGGATTTGGGGTTCAATTCCTGGTCAGGGCACATACAAGAAGCAACCAAAGAATGCATAAATAAGTAGAACAAGAAATTGATGTTTCTCTCTAAAAATAAAAATAAATAAAAATAAATAAATAAATAAAAGGAGAGAAAGCTAATCCCTAGATCATAATGCAGTTACCACAGGAAAATTATGCTCCCAGATCATACCATTTGGTAACACCAAAGACTATATCAAATGTGTCAGAATTAAGGTGGAGATAATCTGAGTTTTTGTTTCACCAAGATTCATTAGTTCATATCACAAATAATTTTTTAATACCTACTATGTTCCAGGAGGTATTCTATCAGTGAATTAAATAAACAAAAGTAGTCCTTACCTTCATGGAGCAAAACTGCACACTAACAGGTAAGATTTTCTTTAAATGGGATAAATAATAAAATATGTAAGATGTTAGTGGCATGATAAGGAGAAAAAACAAATAAAAAGAAGTTCTGACATGTTGAGTGGATTCAAATTTTAGCTAGGATAATCAGGGAAGGCAGTTTTGAATCAAAACCTAGAGGGTGTTAAAGAGGTAGGAAGATATTTAGGAAGGAAATGATCATTTAGGGTAGAGGAAATGACAAATGCAAAGGCTAAAGGCAGGAGTGTTCCTAGAGTGTTTAACAAACAGCAAAGGAGGCCGTGTGGCTGGAGTAGAGCGAGCAAGGTGGGAAATAATAATGGATGAGATCAGAGGGACACAGAGGGACATGCCATGTGGAGCCTTGTTAGCATTCACTCTGATGAGCTGGGAAGCCAATGGAGGGTTCAGAGAAGATTATCAACTGGAACTAAGATCACCTTGGATGCTGTGTTGAGAAGAGACTGAAAGGGGTCAAGTACAGAAGCAGGAAGATCTTTCAGAAAGCTATTGCAATGATCTAGGGAAGAGATGATTACGGCTTGGACCAAGGCAATAGTAGTGAGAGGTTGTGTTTCTGTACATAGTTCGATGGTAGTCACTTCTAATTTTTGGAGTTGAGAAACTGTGAGCTTAAACTCAATTGGGAGAAATCATCCATCAAAAAGTTAATCTTTCACTTCCAATCTGAGAGGAAGAGCCACCTCTGCATACAGTCTCCCTTCTGATGGAGTGGCATCTGTGAGACTCCTGCCTTCTAAAAATGTTTAAAAATCTTCACATGATGGCAGCCCCCGTCAATAGGCTTTACTTGAAGGACCTTTCCTTTCTGTCTAACATCTCCAAAATGTCTCAATTTCCCTTTCCCATTGAGTCCCATTTTCTAGCATCCCTTGCTGAAATGAGTGGGGCTCCATCTAGTTAATTAACCTTCAAGATATCTTATGAACAGTTCGCCAATTCTGAGCCACAGGGGTGTTCCCTTAACCCAGTGATGGTGAACCTTTTGAGCTCGGCGTGTCAGCATTTTGAAAAACCCTAACTTAACTCTGGTGCCGTGTCACATATAAAAATTTTTTGATATTTGCAACCATAGTAAAACAAAGAATTATATTTTTGATACTTATTTTATATATTTAAATGCCATTTAACAAAGAAAAATCAACCCAAAAAATGAGTTCGCGTGTCACCTCTGACACGCGTGTCATAGGTTCGCCATCACTGCCTTAACCTCTTGCCATGGTTAAGACCCTGTCTCCTATGGATGACTTCTCCTGCTTCCCACAGTTGCTTCAACAGGATATATCACCCTCAGCAAAGACCTGAATTAAAGCTGCTTTTGAACCTGCGCCCCTGTGGGCCTGGTGAGTTTCTGTTACCTATGTTATGTACTACTCAAGACCTCGTCTTTCACTTTTGATGTCATAGCCTTGAGTAGCACTTCTTTCAGCGACATCTTTTTCCACAGCAAGAGATTAGGCCTCTAGTGTTGTATTTCCTCCCTGTTCCACTGCTATTTTTCAGAAAGACTCATCTCAGTATAGAACAGTTCAACCTGTTTTTTAGATTGTTCCCTTTCTTTCTCTACCTATGGTAAGGCTAGTACTGGATTCAAGTATCAGCTTTCTTTTGCTTCCTCACACACTTTCTCTTTGTTGCTCCTTTTGTTTCCAGCCCAGGCATGCATTTTTCTTACCTACCCCCGCTAAGTTTTGCTTTGTGGGGTCTCCCACAGTGAGACATATGAAAACTATGCATTCTTATCTTTGCCAAAAGCAAAGAAATTCTCACCTTCATTTCTCAGAGCTGCATAATATTCCCAGGAGAGAGTCTCACAGTAGATCAGTATCCATCCCAGTCCTGGACTTGACTTATTGCCTTGCAGGGGCAGGATCTTTACCACTCTGCGGCTGGCCTCCCTGAGAGCAGACTAACACACATGTGTTACCTGAAAGAGAATGGAGAAGGGGAAAGGAACATCAGTTATACTTGACCTTTACCATGTGCCCTGATCCTCATCCTAGACTCATCAAAGTTCCTTCTCACTGTCCTTGGAAGTAGTAAGTGTATACAGGCCAGAAAGATTACTTTAATGGATGTTCTCCTATATGAAAGGAAATACTGGAGTGGGGAGTGTTTCTCCATAAAAGTATATAGCCTGGCCAGTTTTTCTTAGTGGTTACAGTGTTGGCCTGTGGGCTGAAGGGTCATGGATTCAATTCCCAGTCAAGGGCACATACCTCAGTTGCAGATTCGATCTCGGCCCCAGTCAGGGCATGTGTGTGAGGCAACCAATCTCTCTCTCTCTCTCTCTCTCTCTCTCTCTCTCTTTCTCTCCCCTCTCCTCTCTCCCTTCCACTCTCTCTAAAAAATCAATGGAAAAAAATATCCTCGGGTGATGATTAAAAAAAATAAGTATGTAAAATACTTAATACAGTGCCTGAATAGAGGTCAATACTCAACAAATGTTAACTATTATAAACAGAAAAAGAATTGAAAAATTAAGATAGAAACTATTTACAGAACTAGCTAAAGAAAAACTATATATGATAGAAGTAGGGCAACCAAGCAAAATCTACAATATTGGATTTTTTTCAGGAGTTTTTTTCTTTCTTTCTTTCTTTTTTTTTTTGCTTAAAGTATTACAAAGGGTATTACATATGTGTCCTTTTTTTTTTTCTTCCCCGCCCTTGACAATCCCCTGGCCCCCCCTACCCCCCAGTGTCTTATGTCCATTGGTTATGCTTATATGCATGCATACAAGTCCTTCGGTTGATCTCTTACCCCCCTCCCTCCTGCCCCCCAACCCTCCCTGGCCTTCCCGCTGCAGTTTGACAATCAGTTTGAGGCAGCTCTGCCTCTGTATCTATTATTGTTCAAAAGTTTATAATGGTCTTTATTATCCATGAATGAGTGAGATCATGTGGTATTTTTCCTTCATTGACTGGCTTATTTCACTTAGCATAATGCTCTCCAGTTCCATCCATGCTGTTGCAAATGGTAAGAGTTCCTTCTTTTTTACAGCAGCATAGTATTCCATCGTATAGATGTACCACAGTTTTCTAATCCATTCATCTACTGATGGGCGCTTAGGCTGTTTCCAGATCTTAGCTATGGTGAATTGTGCTGCTATGAACATACGGGTGCACATATCCTTTCTGATTGGTGTTTCTGGTTTCTTGGGATATATTCCTAGAAGTGGGATCACAGGGTCAAATGGGAGTTCCATTTTAGTTTTTTGAGGAAACTCCATACTGTTTTCCATAGTGGTTGCACCAGTCTGCATTCCCACCAGCAGTGCACGAGTGTTCCTTTTTCTCCACATCCTCTCCAGCACTTGTTGTTTGTTGATTTGTTGATGATAGCCAGCCTGACAGGTGTGAGATCGTACCTCATTGTTGTTTTGATTTGCATCTCTCGGATGATTAGTGACTTTGAGCATGTTTTCATATGTCTCTTGGCTTTCTGAATGTCCTCTTTTGAAATGTGTCTATTTAGATCCTTTGCCCATTTTTTGATTGGATTGTTTATCTTCTTTTTGTTAAGTTGTATGAGTTCCCTATAAATTTTGGAGATTAGGCCCTTATCAGATATGAAGTTGGCAAATATGTTTTCCCACGCAGTGGGTTTTCTTGTTGTTTTGTTGATGGTTTCTTTTGCTGTGCAGAAGCTTTTTATTTTGATGTAGTCCCATTTGTTCATTTTCTCTTTAGTTTCAACTGCCCTAGGAGCTGTATCAGTGAAGAAATTGCTTCGGCATATGTCTGAGATTTTGTTAGGAGTTTTTTTTCTTAAGAATAAAACTCTGAGTATTAAATTGTCCTTTTAATGATCATCTACGAATACAACCTGCTTCAGACATGGAACCAGCCTTTAAGCAAATGAACACTATTTCATCAAATGTAAACTTTTTTTCTTGGATCTCAGGACAACAGAATTGGATTAATCCTAATCTTTGCTTGGGACACACTCTCCTCATTGGTTCCTCCCTCCCTCCTTGCCCTGCCTTCTTCCTAACTTGCTCCTTCTCCTAGGGAATCTTACAATATCAACATCTTGTTCTGAGTGGAAAAGAACCTTGAGATTCTCCTGCCCGTTTCCTCCTTCTCCTCCCAGGCAACTGCTCTTACTTGTTGGGCTGAGTTTGAAATTTGAATAACCACTGAAAGTGACAGACTTGCCACATCTGGAGGAAAAAAAACTGCTGTTTCTTTTGGTTTCTCCCAGAATTCCAAGTGTATCCCAAAAGCTCAAAGGAAGGGCGTGGTTTTGACTCAAACTTTGCCCTGTTTGCCAACCTCAGGGAGTCTGGGTTGAGTTAGGGGGAATGTAACAGAACCTGACAATAGACAAGTCTAATGTGGTTTGGAGTTTTATTATGAAACTTCTGTGTAGTTCTGCTTTTCACCCAGTTGTGTCATAAGAAAACAATCAAAACATTCATTTCAGTTTTTGCTAACCAATTTTTAGAATAATACAAATACATATTTAGTATCTAAATATTCTGTAACTAAAAAATTACCTTAAGATGTTGAAAATGTATTATGTGCTGATTCAGAAGTCAGTTTTAAACTATTTCCTTTAATTATAAGTATGATTGTATATATGTATAACATATATATATATACACAATATCATAGATCTATATAAAATATACATCTTAAAACAAAAACAGATATCGAGACTGTTAATTATTTTTATTATATAAGCAGTTTATATTCATTAAAGAAAAATTGGATAATATAAAAAATTAGAAAGAAGGAAAAGTTACGTATGGGGCAATTTCTCATTTCATTTTAACAACAGACATTGTGCTAGGTGCTGAGAAAAATACACAGGTGACTAGGACATGGACTGTGCCTGTTAGGAGACAGATTAGAGATAAAATACAGGTATTTTAAATATTCATTGAAAGGTTATGTTTGTCCAAGCATCTTTGGTACGCCTGGATCTTCCTGTTACCTTTGACTCAGGCATGTCAAGGTCAGCCCTGTTTACCCAGAGATCAAATGATCTGTGGGTGCCTGGGTGGTGTTATGATTTAACTTGAGGTCCAGTTCTCTTTAGACCGCATGTATCTGCACTTCATTCTTTAGAGAGGCAGCAGTTGGAAATAAATCTTTCCACTTGTTACATGGGCTGGAAGGACTGGGTAGATGAGTGATAAAAGGTGCAGTGTTGATAGTGCCCATTAAAGACAAAGAAACTACATTAAAATCGAGGGCATGGTATGTAGGGTATTAATGACTCATTCCAAATTTCCCAAGAAGGACAGCCACCAGAGCAGAACATTTTTTCTAAAGTTATTTTGGATAAAATTTTGAAAAGAGGATTTTAATAAAATAGAGTTTAGCCAATCATTTTACAATTTTTAATAGGTGTATTAAATCATATATTGATCATTTGTATAGTCAGGAGTAAAAAATAAACTGATTTTACTTGTGCTTCATTATGTGCTACTAAGAGTAAATATACATTGGTTTCACATAACTATATTTCTAAAATTTCAAAATAATTATGCTGGGAACTATTCAAAAGAAGTAGAGTTGTGAGACCCTCTTCCTATGATCCTATGATCATTTAATATAGCAAGGAACTAGAAGAAACATATTTTAGTTCTTAAGATGGTTGAGGCAGCTGGACACAAAGGAGAAACTTCTGTTGCCTAACGCTGGCTCTCTTCCACTGATTAAGCGAAACTAGACAGTTTCTAATTCTTCCTTGATGATGTTTTTTACAAACTTATATGCATATATCAAACTCCTAACAAAATTAACATTATATAATCTATTGCTTTCATTTATCCATCTGTCTACCATCCATTTGTCCAGTAAACATTTATTCTGTACCTACTATGAGGCAAAGTACTTTCCTGGATGGACACAGTATTTATTACCAAATGCCTCAATGGAAGAACAATTGCATGTCATTGAGATATGGGTTTCTATAATAAAATAAACTGCTATGGGAAACTTGGAGTTTATTTATAAAATAAATGAGCTTAACTATAAGGAGCAAGTAGCACTCCATTTTCAAAATTGAAGGTTGTTTGTTTCTTTGTTAATTAAAGAACACTCCTAAACTACCATGCAATTTTGAGTGGTGAGTCTCTATTACTAACAAACAAATGTAAAACTCTTCCCAAAGACAAGGAGCATCAGCAAGGATTATTTAAATCATTTATTTTATTATATGTGGAGTCATATTTTTTCCTTTGTTAGTTACAGAGATTGAGAAAAAATCTGGTGGCTATATTTTACATAGTCTACAGAAATCAGTTGTTCCCCAAACTGTATGTCTGGCTCTGAAGTCTCTCTTCAGAGTCCTGGTCATCTGTTATCCATTGCCAACTAGACGTTTTCCCAATAGTGCTCCACAGGCACAACACACTCAGTATGTATAAAGCTGAACTCGATGTTATCTTCCATAAACCCGGTCTTCTTGAAGTCCTTCTTGTAATTAATAGTACCACCATTGACCTAGTTTCTCAATCTAGAAATTGGATGCTCATCTAGAGCCTGTCTTTGCTGGCACTCATAGTTATTAGGTCATCAAGTACTGTTAATTTTATCTTCAGAATAGGTCTGGAATCTTCGCTGCATTACCAATGTCACTGCTATAGAGCCACTCACCTTTATCTTTCCTGCAATAGCAAGGACCTCCAAAATGACCTTCCTGCTTCTGGTCTCTCAATATGTTAGTCCATTCTCTGTACTGCCATTAAAATTCTCTTTTTCTAATTTAAATATGTTTATGTCACTCTCCCTCTGAAAGTCTTTGAATAGATCCCCCTCATTAACCACAGGATTGAGTCCCATCACCTTGGCATGGCATAAGAACCTTTATAATCTGGTCCTAAAGGTTTTTTTTCAGACCCATCTTTCCACAAGTATTACATGCTTCTACCAAATGGGATTGCTCTCCTAA